GACGTCGGCAGAGCATGGCAGGCTGCTGAACGGTGACACGGCTACATGCAGGGTTCAAGCATGCCATAAGCTAGAGACCATTCTTAAAGCTGTTTCTTATATACAGGAAGCAGACCACATCCCCAAAGGCAGCTACTCAGCTGCTCACAGTAGATTCCACCATGGAGTTGTTGATCAGTCTCATCATGGGGAATAGTACAACCAGCTGCCCAGCCACTCAACCAGGCCTAGCCAAGTTGACACACAAACTTAACCACCACAGTTACCATTTCTGTTTGTCCTTCTTTCCTATCTGTTTCTGCCTTCTGAGCTTTATCCTGGGCAAATGATGCCCTTTTAATCTCCTTTGGTTGATTGTGCTAAGGAGTGTATTCTTCCCTGGTGTTACTGTTCACCCTGAAGGCCTGCCAATTGTTTGACTGAAAGTTGAGCCACATAAATTTCAAGGAAACAGAAATCAAAGGGTAGAATTGAGAAGAGAGTCTTGGGGAAAAATAAGGACCAAGGAAGTGCTGTAAAGGAACTTTACCAAAGAACTAGGTAAAACTTAAGGGAAGTACAATGGGATGTCATTGAAGGGTTTTCAAAAGAGGAGCAACTTGATGTATCACATCAGTTTAGATGTAGGGTGCTTGAAGGTTAGAATGGCAGTGGAAGCAGATGAAGTATTTGGGAGGCTATTGTAATAGTTCAGGAGAATAATTATGCTGGCTTGCATTTGGTTGGGAGCCAGAAAGTAGAAGAGTACAAGAAATAGGGAATGATTGAATTGATATGGAAGGTGAAAGAAAGGGAGGTGTTGAAGATGACTTCTAGAACTTTGGTTTGTGTAATAAGGTAGAGAGTGATGTTGCTCCGGGAGATAACATACACTGAAAGACAACTGGGATAATAGTGATGTTCATTTTGGCTATACAGAGCTTAATCACCTTTGAGAGAAACAAAAGTAGACATTAAATCATCAACTGAATATATAGCTCTGTAGCTTAGAGACAGTGACCTTTCAGAAGCAGATTGCCAGGCCTGTCTTCTGAGCCTCTTGGATGGATTTTAGCTGTCCATATTTTGGTTAGTAATCAAGCACTTAACCATTTGTGTCACCTACAAATAAAATCACCAATGGTCAGAATTGACTCACTGGCAACCAGCAACAGCTTAGAGACTGGATTTGGGCTGCATATGTGTAACTGGAAGACATCTGTGTAAATGGTGGTGGCAATGAGCTGGTGTAGGTCAAATGTGTAGAAAAGGAAGAGCAATGGGCCTGGAACTCTGAGTCTTGATAAGCTTGAGCATTTAGAAACGTAATTAGCAAAATACACAAAGAAGGAGTAACTAGAGAAAGTAGAGAAGAAAATGATAAAAGTGTGGTATCATGTTAGCTGAGGAGAGGAGAGTACCAAAAGTATTGAATGATTCTGAATTGTCAAGATAAGTGAAGGCATAAAAATATCCATTGGATTTGATGTCATGGAGGTTGTCAATGACCTTTGAGAGAGTGATAGGAGTGAAACTGAGATTGAAGTGGGTTGAGGAACAAGTAGGAAGAAATATGGAAGCAGTAAGTATTGATTTCTCTTTTAAGAGGTTATAGAAAATGAGCATTTGTTAGAAGAGCATGATAGGTTTGTGTGTGTGTGTGTGTGTGTGTTATTAAATAGAAGAGAGAGAATATATAAATGGACAAATGAATAATTGGCAGTTTTAAGGTTCTGAGAAGGTGGAAGGGAATGACATTCAAAGCACACATTGAAGGAGAGTGATAGGTTCAGTGCTATAAAAGCAATCAGGATATAGGGACAGATGCCACCAGTTGTACATATTGGGAATTAGGCAGAAAGAGTTTCTGTACGATGCTTTCTGTTTTCTCTGTAAAAGGAGGCAAAATTACTGAGGGTCTCAGGAGACGATAGAAGGTTGGGAGCTTGAAAAGAAGAAAAATGTGAAATAATAAGTTAGATTGTGGGAATAGTCTGACTGAAGAAATACAGTTAGGTTGCTGGAAGTGTTCTGGGCCATTCAATATTGGTGTCATCTTCCTTCTGAGAAGTGGCTGGTGGCTTTGAACCACCAGCCTTGTGGTTAGCAGTCAAATGCCTTAGGCACTATGCTACCAGAGGCCCCATTGGTGTCATGTATATATAATGTGTAAATCTGTTATATGTGCCTTGCTTCAGCAGTCTTCTCTGTAGGCGTACAGAAAGTAAATCATTGGGTTTGTCCAGGTTCATTTTGCTAGATGGGTGCAAGGAAAGAAAAGAGGGCAATGAGTGTAATCAAATGATGGTAGGATATAATCCAGATCAAGAGGGAAGTGAAGAAAAGACAGGGTTGATGGATTGGGAGAAAATGTCATGGAGTCAATTAGTGGAAGTTCCCAGGAAGTTGAGGACAGGCAAGTAGGACAAGAATAGGTTGTAAAATACTTATATTGGGTGAGATGCAGTTAAGTGCAGTAATCTTTAATTTTGGAAAAGCTATTATGCATGTGGTGAAACTGAGCAGATGAGTAGGCAACCCATCTTAAAAAAAAAAAAAAAGAGCAAACGCACCGTGGTTGAGTCAGATCCAACTCATAGAAACCCCTCCTTTGGTTTCTGAGGCAGTATCACTACGGAAGTAGATTGCCCAACTTTCCTTCCCAGGAGTGGCTGGTGGGTTTGAACCACCAGCTTTCTGGTTAGCAGTCTGCCAAAGAGGCAAGGAGGCCATTTATTCTGATCTCCTCTAACCCCAGAAGAGGAAGACAGAATCACCATCAGTAGCCCAAGACTTATCCCTGCTAGGCAAGACATGCTGCCTCCTTCCAACCCTTTCACCAACCCTGGCACTCACCATTCCTCCCTCAGCACTCACCACCTCTCTGCTGGGTTTGATAATTTGCTGCAGTGGCCACACAGAACTCACAGATCAAGAGGGAAGTGAGGAAAAGACAGGGCTGATGGATTGGGAGATTATGGGGTTTATTAGGGAAGTACCAGGCTATAATTCAAGGTCAGGAACAACACTCAGTCTCTCTTAGCCTGCCATCTCTTGGCCAACAGTGTCTTTCTCAGCAGTGTGTGTCTCTCAGTGTCTCTCTCTTAGCAATGTGTGTCTTTTGGTGTCTCTCTGTCAGAGTACATGTCTCTCAGGAGTGCGTGTCTCTCAGGAGTGCATCTTTCTCAGCCAGCAGTCAGAGAGACTTCTGCCTCTAGAAGGACTACTTTTGAGCCTGGCAGAGTGACCACTAACGAATCCCAATATCAGAATTCTATACACTTGAGAGAGGGCGATCTTCCCAAAAAATTACTTTGTGCTGCTCCCAACAGAAATACCCCAGGTGGATAACTTTAACAATCAGCAGCTACTCAGTTGCTCATAGCAAATTCAACCGCAGAGTTTATAAAGACTTACGGCTAGAAAAGCCATACTATGTAATGTACTACACTGCACAGTCAAATGCCTTAGGCCCTATGCCACCAGAGCTCCCCAACCCATCGTGGGAAGCAGGGAATGAAGATGGATACCCACTCAATCTGGTTGTGTGCCTTATATTGGACTGATGGAACAGGTATCAACTCATCAACAGGTTTTTAGAATTGTTGCCATTCTCTTGGAAGCTCCAGGAGGCCACAGTGGTAGAGGATGGGATTTGGGTTGTGTTGTACCTCCAGGCTGATAGGCTGGTCCCAGTCAATCTCATAATTTCTTATGTGGCGTAACTTTTTATCCTGCTTATGAAATGGTAGAATCTCATTTTTCCATTACTTAATCATTATCAGAAAGTTAAGTTCTCTTCAAGTAATACATTTCTATTGTTTCATCAATATTCTCTTGCATTTTGATCAGTGTCGTATATTTGTTAGAATATGACTGTGGTCACTGACTAGAACCAAAGGTGCTAACTGGCTAATAATGAGCTAGAACCACTAATCTGGTTTCATTGCCTTGTTTTCACTAATAAAACTCCAAATAAGAGTAAACAGAATGACAAATAGATAAATAAGTCTGTTGAGAAGCACATGAATGCTATGTGTTAAGACTCCTATATACTATGTTTGTATATATTATGTGCATGAACCACCTCTTCTCTTTTACAGCGGGAATTGGTTGGAAGGTCTCTATGAGAAGCAAAAAGTTAGGTCAGATAAGTGAGTACAGCGGAACTGGAGAGCTGAGTAATGGCAAATAGAGGGATTGCTAGGAAGGGGCTTTGGCATGATTAAGTCAGTGTATTCATTGTCCTTTAGGGAGGTGAAAGGAATGGGAACTTGGGAAAATGACTGGATGGTTGCCTAGCAAAAGAGAGATATGTATAGGGAGGATCTAAAACTGTTCAGCCACATCCTCAGTATTTAGGGTGATGATACAGTGTGTTTCCTAGATCTGGGTTGGAAACAGTTGGTTAGACATGTTTCATAAATGTCAATGACTTAAAGAATACGTTCTTTCTAAAAGGCAGATATTACTTAATTAGTAGATAAAGGGATATATGAAATCAAGATGTTCAGATAATGTCTACTATCTACATAACCCAGTGTTAGAATGGAACTTTTCATTTGGATTTATGTACACAATTTACTGAAAGAACTAGAATTCATGTAAATTGCTTGAGGTCCAAGCAAGTTTAATACTGATGACCAACAAAAGCACAGTCAGCTTGCAGTTTGAGTTTGAACATTTGAAGCACCAGGAGCCTTCTATGGCCAAACACCTTTGTTGGCCTTTAATCTATCATCTGGAAAATGTTTCTTTTCATTGGCTAAAGGCAAATAAAATTTGGCGTTGTTTTGCAGTACATTAACAGAGAGATTCAAAACTGCCTCATTTTCTTCCTGCATAAAAGTTTAGATTTTTCTAAGGCAAAAATGTACTGTGTCTGACAAGATGCTACAAATTGAAATGTCACCATGATTGGGACTTTGCCTTCTGGAAATATGACTTTGCAGCATTTTCAGACAGATGCGATCAACTGTTTTTATCATGAGAGGTAATCTTTTTCACTTTCTTGTATGTAGACTGGTGATGTACGTTGAGAGAGACAGCAGAAAGACCACTCTAGGCAAGGAGCAGCAGAGCGGCAATGAATACCTGTCCAAGTGCCTGGACCTCCTCATCCATCATGTTGTGCAGGAACTTCCACGTATCCTGGGTAAACTGGAGGCTTGCCTACAGGCCTTATTGCTGCTTACCTTTCTGCAACTTGGTTTCATCTCTTTTTTATTCTTACTTGTCTGCTATTGCAAGCAAGTACAGTAATACTTCTTCTTGAATATATTTTCAAGATTCACATTTGCCTTTTCTGTCTTTATAACTATTTTCCCTTCAAAATGATTGAGATAGAGAGCAGGCTGCAGGTTACAGTGGCATGTTATCTGTGATAAACTGGTGATTTTGGAAAATAAAGAAAAGTAAAGTGTTTTATTGCTTAAAATTGTACTTTTGCTATCATCAGTACTTTTTTCAAGATTTTTCTTTGCCTAATTCTGAAGAATTTTTTTTTTCTCTTCCAACTTGAGCCACAAATGTATTTGTTTTTAATAGAATTTTAAAAATGCATAGACATTAATATTTAATGTTAGATAATTTTTACATTAGTTTTAGGTTTTAAGTTTAAAAATTTCTTTAGTTTGAAAAATTGTCTTTAGGATAAAATATCTAATAATTAATTGCAAATTGTATTTATTACAGCTAAAAAACTTCCTTGTTTTCTTGTTATTTACACAAATTAAAATAATCTAAGGAGTATGCATTTTTACTTTAAATCCCATTCCTAACTGTTCCAGCAGATGTAGCTCTAAACCAGAAATGTTTAAACTGTTAAATATAATCCAAGACATCAAAATAAAATATACTTAGATTCAGAAATTCAGAATATTAAATCAAAGTAATGAAAATATCTTCATGGTCAATTTACAGTAGAATTTTACTCTATATGATACATTAGGAGGTCTTTTTGCCTGCTTATGTCTGAGAACAGAGCAGTTCAAAACTTATTTTGGGTTGTAACCATTTTTTAACTTTATCCTCAAGTCATGGTCTAGTCTATTAATAGTTCCTTTGGGAGCTCTGGAGGCATAATGCCTAAGGCATTTGATTGCTAACCAGAAGGCTGGCAGTTCAAACTTACCAGACACTCCTTGGATGGAAGGTTGGGCAATCTACTTTGGTAGAGATACCACCTTGAAACTCAAGGAGGGGTCGTCATGAGTCAGCTCCAACTCAAGGACAGTTGAGTTTGGTTTGCTTTTATAATCAGATGCTTTCTAGTCCAGGATATGATGATAAGATTCTGTTGTCTACAATGCAAATTTTCTTCCTAACAAAAGCATTCAGGAAGACATTTCAGGAATTGATCTCTTTACTTCTGTCCTGTTCTGTTTTTCAAAAAAAGTAGTGATTTATAAGGTATTCACTTAACATTTTTTTCCCATAACTACTTTCTGCTTACAGAAGTGATAAGGGCTTATAGTAAAAATTTGAAAAATATATTTAAAAGAAAATCATCATTTCTAAAACCACCACTTTACCATACCCATGTATAAAATCTGTGTAAAATTTCCAGATGAGAGATCAAATTAATTGATGATGTGTATGCAAAATATCACATTCTGTCCTAAAAGGCCACAAATGGTATAACTTTATAACAATCGTGAATAAACTACCACAGATTCAACTCCTCCTTTGTTGCCTCTGCAACCCCATTAGTATTCCAGTAACTATCGATGGTATGTATTTTCAGTCTGTAATCTCATATGTGCTCTGGGATATGCTTTGCAGGTGACATCCTTAATGCTTTGGCTAATGTTTCTGGCCGTAAACACCCATCTACAGTGCAAGTGAAGCAGCTGAAGATATGTCTCCCCCTGATGCCTATTGTGCTTCACCTGGTAACTTCTCAGGTACTGTTTTATTAGGGAAAAAACAGTATCAGTCTACTTCCTTTCTTTTTAAATTAAAGCTGAGAACAGTTAACTCCAACAAAACATTTTCTTTTTATTTTTCTTTTTGTTGAACTAAAATTGTACATAGTGTTAGGATTTGATTCATGGTAACTCTCATCTTTACAGATATTTCGACCTCAAGTTGTAACAGAGGAGTTCCTTTTCAGTTATGGAACTATTCTCGTAAGTAACACTGAATTTTTCACATTCCTTGTAAAAATGTGGTGTCTCTACTGTTTGTGGAATTGGTGTCAGGATGAGGTAATTTTAAAATCCTTGTGGTATTTATTTGTCTCTAGGGAGTGACCTTTTTATATTTTTATCTGTTGACTGTAATAAAATTTGACATTTAGAGAAAAATACATTCTCTTCTGATAATGTATTTAATTCAGAGACAGCCCCAAATAAGGTAAATAAGTCCACAGAAACACTTGCACAGATTTGGGTATTAAGAATCATGAAAAACTTTTAAATAATAAAACTGGTGAAAGTAGAATGCTAAGAATATTTTATCATTATTTGTGTTGGCTTATATTGCAAGTCATATGCAGCATCTTTTTATAATGACATTTCTCTAAGCTCAATTTAATTAAAAAAATTAATTTATATGATTGCGTAACAATGAAAAACAAATCATTATACTATCTTTCACTAAATCTTTGCCAACAGAAACAGTCTTTTTGTTCAGATTATCACTCATGAATTATATTATCCTTTTCCCTTGCTTGGAATAGTTGTAGCATATGTAGTTGATAAAGTGGTGAGCTGTACAAAAGGGAAAGCTAAGATGTCTGTCTCACTGCATCTCCAGGGTGACTTTGATACTAATATTAGACACTCACCTGAGAGTTCAGAAATGCCATAAGGGTCTCTAGTTAAAATGAAGTCAGTATCTCAATTTTATTGTTAGCATGGAATAAAAAACGATTGCCACTGGCAAATGAAAACATAGTTTTCTAGAAGGTCCATCATAGGGTGAAGCGTGACATTTTGAAGCACAAATGGGGAGTGTAGGCCCCTGTCTGTTAGGTAGCAGTGTGTGCAGGCAATGCAGTACAAGTCCTTTTGTGCTCAGTGCCAAATCTTTGTTGTTTGAGTGTCTAAGATCCTGAATTCTAGAAAGTGTATATTTCTGATAGCACATCTGGGAATTTTCAAGTTAGTAGAAATTCATTTACAACCTTCTTTAATTTACTTGGCATCATGGGTATTGTTTTAGCATGATTATAATACTACATTTATAATTCCATTGTGTTGACATATTGGTGCCTGGATATAGTGATTTTGACCTTGCAGTCCACTTTGGAATATTTTGACATAGGATTTATTTGATGTGGGGATAGATATATTTGTCCTATGTTTCTCTCATTTCTTTTTCATTTTCTGTACCTTTCTATGCCTACGTTACTGAGTACCCTTCAGGTTTTCAACCAACTACGGAGTGTCTCCAACATAAAAGTCTTTGTTGACTTTCAAGAATTATACATAAGTATTTTGCTGCAAATATCCATTAATATTTGGAACATGGAATGTACAAGTATGAATCTAGGAAAACTGGAAGTTGTCAAAAATTAAATGGAACACGTAAAGATTGATATTCTAGGCTTTTGTGAGCCAAAATGGACTAGTTTTGGCCATTTTGAATCAGACAGCCATATGATCTACTATGCCAGGAATGACAGGTTGAAAAGGAGTGGTGTGATATTCATAGTCACAAAGACTGTTCCAAGATCTATCCTGAAGTATAGTGCTGTCAATGACAGGATAATAGCCATATGCCTACAAGGAAGACCAGTTACTACTACTATTATTCAAATATATGCACCAACCACCAAAGTGAAAGATGAGGAAATTGAAGATTTCTACAAACTTCTGCAGTCTGAAATTGACTGAACATGCAATCAAGATGTGTTGATTATCACTGGTGACTGGAATGCAAAAGTTGGAAACAAAGAAGAGGCACCAGTAGTTGGAAAACATGAGCTTGATGGTAGAAATAATGCTGGAGATTGCATGATAGAATTTTGCAAGACCAATGATTTACTCATTGCAAATGCCTTTTTTCAACAACATAAACAATGGCTATACATTTGAACTTCACTGGATGGAATACACAGGAATCAGATTGATTATATCTGTGGCCAGAGGCAATGGAGAAGTGCAATATCTTCTGCCAAAACAAGGCCAGGAGCTGACTGTGGAACAGACCACCAACTGCTCATATGTAAGTTCAGGTTGACATTGAAGAGAAAACAAATCCATGATAGCCAAAATATGACCTTGATAATATTCTTCCTGAATCTGGAGATCATCTAAAGAATAGATTTGATGCATTGTATACCAGTGACCAAAAACCAGAGGAATTGTGGAATGACATCAAGAATGTCCTCCATGAAGAAAGCAAGAGGTCATTAAAAAGACAAGAAAGGAAGATCAGACCAAAATGGATGTCAGAAGAGACTCTGAAACTTGCCCTTGAGCAGAGAGTAGCAGAAACAAATGGAAGAAATGACCAGATAAAAGAGCTGAACAGAAAATTTCAAAAAGCACCTTCAGAAGACAAAGCCAATTATTATAATGAAATGTACAAAGACCCGGAGGTAGAAAACCAAAAGGGAAGAACACGCTCACTATTTCTCAAGCTGAAAGAACTGAGGAAAAAATTTAAACCTTGAGTTACAATGTTCATTCTCTGGGCAAAATATTGAATGATGTGGGAAACATCAAAAGAAGATGGAAGGAATATGCTGCACCAAAAATAATTGGTTGTTGTTCATCCATTTCAAGAGGTGGCCTGTGATCAAGAACCATGTTACTGAAGGAAGAAGTTGAGGCTGCACTGAAAGAATTGGTGAAAAACAAGGCTCCAGGAATTGATGGAATACCCATTAAGTCAACAAACAGATGCCTCACTGGAGGCACTTACTCGGCTATGCCAAGAGATTTGGAAGACAGCTACCTGGCTACCTGACTGGAAGAGATCCATATTTGTACCCATACCAAAGACAGGTGAAAATGTGGAATGTGGAAATTATAGAATAATGTCATTAATATTATATGCAAGTAAAATCTTACTTGAAGATAATTCAAAAACAGTTGCAACAATATATTGACAGAGAACTTCCAGAGTTGCAAGCTGGATTCAGAAGAGCATATGGAACAAGGGATATCATTGCTGATGTCAGATGGATCTTGGCTCAAAGCAAAGAATACCAGAAAGATGTTTACTTGTGTTTTATTGGCTATGCAAAATCATTTGATTGTGTGGATCATAAAAAATTGTGGATAACAGTTAGAAAAATGAGAATTCCAGAACACTTAAATGTACCCACTGTACATAGACCAGGAAGCTCTCATTTGAACAGAACAAGAAGATACTGCATGATTTAAAATTAGGAAGGGAGTGCATCAGGGTTGTATCCTTTCACCATACTTATTCAATTTGTATGCTGAGCAAATAATCTAAGAAGCTGGACTGTATGAAGAAGAACATGGCATCAGGATTGGAGGAAGACTCATTAACAACCTGTGATACACAGAAGACAAAACTTTGTTTGCTGAAAGTCAGGATGACTTGAAGCACTTACTGACGAAGATTAAAGATGACAGTCTACAGTATGAATTATACCTCAATGTAAAGAAACCAAAAATCCTCACAACTGCATTGTGGATTACACTTCAGTATAAAGAAAACAAAAATCCTCACAACAGCTTCATGATGAATGGAGAAAAGACTGAAGTTGTCAAGGACTTCATATTACTTAGTTCTACAATCAATACTAATGGAATTAGCAGTCAAGACATCAGATGATGTATTGCATTGGGCAAATCTGCTGCAAAAGATCTCTTTCAAGTGCTAAAGAACAAAGATGTCTCCTTGAAGAGTGAAAAAAAAAAAAAAAAACAACAAACTCACTGCCATCAAGTCAGTTCCAACTCATAGTGACCCCTCCTTGGGTTTCCGAGGTGGTATCACCTTCGTTCTGAAGAGTGGCTGGTGAGGGGTTTGAGCTGCCAGCTTTCTGATTAGCAGTCAAATGCCTTAGGCACTGTATCACCAGAGCTCCCCTTTGAAGACTAGGGTGCACTTATCCCAAGCCATGGTATTTTCAGTCACTTCTTACGCATGTGAGAGCTGGACAGTGAATAAGGAAGACCAAAGAAGAATTGATGCTTTTGAGTCATGGTGTTAGAGGAAAATGCTAAGAGTACCATGGACTGTTAAAAAGACTAACATCTGTCCTGGAAGAAGTACAGCTGGAATGCTCCTTGGAAGTGGGAATGGCCAGACTTCACCCCACCTGCTTTGGTCATGTCAGGAGGAATCATTCCCTGAAGAAGGATATCATACTTGGTAAAGTGGAGGGTCAACAAAAAAGGGGAAGGCCCTCAATGAGATGGGTTGACACACTGGCTACAACGATGGGCTCAGGTATAGCAAAGATTGTGAGGTTGGCACAGGACTGGACAGTGTTTCATTTTGTTATATATAGAGTTGCTATGAGTCAGAGCCAACTGGACAGCACCTAGCAACAACAACAAGTAGCTATATCAAGTAGCAGCAAAAATCACTTCTTGGGCTTCCTTAAAGCCACATCGAGGTGACTGGGGAGATGGTGATCAGATGGTTTAAACTCCACTCATTAGAAGGGACTTCAAGGAGCAGATTGGAGGGGGTCGGAATTGTGCTTCCTATTGGCTTCAGTCTTCATAGTGGCACTGGGGAATGATTTGCCTGTTTCACATGGAGATATCTTCTTTTGGTTTTGTTTAGATGGAAATATTCAGGATCCTGTTTATTCTGGTGGGTTTAAAGTATAAAAATTCTCCACCTATTCTACCCCTGCCTTTGAACGGATAAATATGACTAGGGAAAAACACAATGAGAATGACTTGTGTCACCTTAAATTCATGATTGCCTGTCTCAAGTGAGCCCTCTTTGCAGACTTTATTATCTCATTCACTTTCCTGATTTATATACCTCATACTTACCTAGATGACTGTTCTTACCTTCTTTTCTTTTCTTGAATCTCCAATGCTTCCTACTCCATCCCCACCCTTACCTGATTTGTTCTTTCTACACTCTGAATGAAGAAGAAATCTATCAGAAGACATTAACATTGATAAATCAGTGCAACATCAATACAGATTCCTTTTGGTTAAAAGGGATAAGTATAAGAAAG